ATCCAAATATCATTATTGCTCATTATTGCCCTCAATTGTTATTCAAATAGGGCTTATTTCTGCTGTCCTCTACTATAATACATAAAACTTCACTTCACCTACAGTAATAATTCCATTTCTGAAGTAAAAATGGAAGTTATTACACACAAAGATTTGAGCTTTTGTTTTAAATGAGGTTAAGTCCATGTCTGAAATGAGATTTTAATTTAATCATATGCCAGAGAACAAAAAAGGTCATTTGGGTTATTTCAAGCAACTCAAAGACTCGAAAATTTCTCTATTTCAATTTTTTCTATTAAAAATCCAATTTAATATTTATTATATATCAAAATTAGGTCAAAGAAATGCTCACTTTCCCCCTCGTATCTAGTAAGCTTTAAAAAAATAGTTTTGTGTGGTTTCAGTGGCCAAAGACCCTCATTTTATGTTGAAAGAAACAAATTTTTTTAAAGTACATTTGAGATAAATAATTATTTTACTCGTTTTTGAATCTCTAGTGCTTAGGACAGTGCCTAGCACAGAGTAGGTATTTAATAAATATTTGTTGATAGATCAGTGAAATATTCCATGTCCACCATAAATGTTATAAACATGCCCAAAGAATGATGATGTAATAAATTCTTTAAAATGCATAATAACCAATATGTAAGGGGAAGATAAGTAGATCATATGACTATAAGATATTTTGTTGATTTAATTAAAATAATATACTGAGTCACAAAAAAACCTATAGCTGCATGGTATGAGCCAGATCGTATATACTAGAAACGAAGAGGAAAATCTACAAGGTTATCTAAAAGCAACTGGGATTTCAATTAATATAATAGCATATGTTAAAACTCTTTGAGTTATGGAACTTTAGCACTAGAAAGGACCTCAAAGATCATCTTGTCTAATCCCTTCTCTTTTTTTTGTTGTTTAAAAAGTATTAGGTAACTAAGCACCATAAACGTCTAAGGTTATACAGCTAATGAGGGGGCAGAACCAAGACTAGAAAAGAGGCCTACTGGCTCACTGTCAAGTGATTTTTTCAATAAATAAAAATGTATACAGCATACATATATATATTCATCTGTGCACATATCCATAAATTGGTATATACACATGTATGTATATAATATGGCACTCTAATGTATTTGTCTTATTTTTGTTTAGTGGGAAAAAAAAGACTAGATTGAAACACACATATATATGTTAGGGTATACATATATGCACGTAATTTCTGTATGAGAAATGACAACATATTGTCTCTCATGATAAAACACAATTCTTTAAGTTAAAAATAGCAATGTAACAGAAAAAATAGCTGATAGAGTATACTTTAGGCAGTATTCTCTTACTAGTTATACATTATTATATTATTCATTTTACTAGATTATTTGGGGGATTTATTTAAATTCCTGATTGGTATACAAAGTAGGAATGGTATTGTCTCACATGACAATCAATTGATTTGGATACATTTACACTCTATTTAGTCCTGTGTGTGTTTGTGGGGGATATACACATATATGTATATACATATACACATACAAATAAAAGGCCCAGTCTTTGCTCTTGGACAGTTTATGGTCTTGTTGGAAAGATAACACCAATATATGAAACTATGCCTATAGTCTCTGGCACCATATAATTAGGTGCTTAAGCTATGTAGTTAAAATGGTAAGTACTATAGGAGGTCAGAAAACTGAATGATCAGTTTCATAGCAGCTACCTGAACCCAGCATGGCCATATTGACCCAAGATTGAGACTATGATTTCACAACCAGTTTCTCTGCCTCTATGCCACAAGCTCCATCTGTTTTTGGAGTCTTGTGAGATGCTTGCAGACTTAGGAATCTGACGCTGATTATTTTATCCTCTTGTCACCAAATATATTCTTCTTCTGTGCCCTTACCTGTAATCAATACCCTCTTTTAAAAAATTCAACATCACATATTGATGATAACATTTTCTCTTAAAAAAACTATTCTAACATGCATAGATTCAAAAAATCAGTGCAATAAACATCTCAAAATAGTTATATAGGAGGAAGAATTGTGTAGTGAAGAGAAAGCTGACATTGAAGAGAGGAAAGCCCAAGTAACAGAACTTGTACATATGGGCCATGTGACCCTGGGAAAGACACTTCAGCCCTCAGTATCCGAGGCAACTCTCAAAAATGATAGTTACAGTGAGTAGCAGATCTGCATTGGTAAAGCTCCCTACAAAGATTAAGTCATGGTTCTGGTCAACATAAAGTTACCTGTGATGGAAGAGACATAGGAAAAAGAATAAATTCTCAAGAAGTTGTTGATGGTGGAAAACACTGGAGACAAACTTCGTCTACTTTTGAAATGTCCAGAGCCAGAAGTTTCTATAAGGCAAATAAATATGTATCTGGTAGGAAACATAGTGAACAGAACACTTAACTCTTAACTCTGCATCCTTTGATAGGTCACTTCACCTCTCTAGAACTCAGTTTCCTCATTTCTCAAACTGAGGAATCATAGAAGTAGAGCTAGGAGGGACCACAGAGGCTATATAAAGTCTAACTTCTCATTATACAAGTAAGAAAAATGATGCCAAAGAAGGATTATTGACTTGGGGTCATGAAGAGTCAGATACAACTGAAAACAATTGAACATGAACAAAGCCATGCAGATAGAAACACATCAGGAATAAGATTAAAACTAAAGAACTCAGACTAGAGCCAGTGGCTTTTTTCCCCCTGAATCATCCTGGACAAGATGAACACTGTGGTCCTTTCTGACTACTTCATTCCATAATTGTACTCATGACTAATCCATGCATATGGATTCATAGAAAACAATTTTAATAGTGTAGTCATGTTGTAAGTGAATAATATTTTCTGCCTCAGCTCCAATAATTGGTTCATCTATGGCTGTTTTTCTCTAGGGGAAAAACGGTGTATTGTATTTCAAGTAAGGATAAAAGCAGGCCATACATTACCACAGAAGTCAAATAAGATATTAATTCAACTCACCTCCAGAGATTCCGATGTTGTTCCTCCAGTTGTGTCAGCAAATGCTCAATATATTTATTTGAATCCATGTATTCCTACGGGGAGAAAAAAAAAGTAGTGGTCAAAAGTATACTAATTATTTAATCATGTATAAAATAGAGAGTTTGGCTAGACAATCTCTAAGTTGTCTTCAAATTCATATATACACATATGCATATATATACACACATAGACATACACACATACACATATACATTATTTATTAATTCCTTTATTCACCCAAGTGTACTATTCTATGCAAAGTATTGTGTTAGATATTTAAGAGAAACATGAAGATAGCACAGTATTCCATCTCTCTAGGAATTTATATCCTAGTATGGGAGAAAAGATAGACACACCAATAACAATAATACAAAATAGATCCTAAGTACATAAGAAAGCACAAGTAGTTATTTGGTAAGATAAATGTATATTTTTTCATATCATGATATTCTGTTACTAAAAACTTCAAATCAGATAAGAGGAGAGGATGGAACTGTAGCAGATGAGTGAGGAATTATTTGAGAACAGGTAAAACTATGAAGTTTTTAAATGATAATGTACAACAATCTCTTTCAGAGCCCCCTCTGAGTCAGACTAGCCCTGAGGAGCTACATAGGGAATTGGTTTCCTCAAATTTAACCAGGCCAAGTGACCAAAGAAAGTTTTATTTCCAAATTTCTGTATCTCATGGCAAATTCATCTTTTTGTTTCTGATATAACATGCTAAACAGGAGTGTCTTGTTTTGTTCTAATGGGAAGTTTTCCTGTACAATTGTGTAATTTGCATTTTCATAAATTGAACTCTATTTTAAAGGATTTCAGTGATGAATACTTTTCTAATGTAAATAACTTTTACTAATTCCTAAAATAATATATATTAGAGGTTTTGTATTTTCAAGATTTTTTCAAGTATGGTGTGCCTATAGCTGTATTTTCCTTATTTGCTGCATATTGACATAAAAACCTCATGAAACAGGTAACAGAAATTCCTTTCCTTAAAATCAGTCTGGAAGAAATTAGGTTCAAAGCAACATTTTCTACATATACCACAATAAAATTAAAATGAATATGTGATCTTAATATTAAAAATTGTAAAAAATATTAAAAGAGATGAAGGCCAGATAATCTTCTCAAGTATTGTCTAAGGAGTGAATTATTAACCTGACAAGAGACAGAAACAATTATGAGATTAAAAAAATGATACCTTTGACTACATGGAATTGGAAAGCTTCTGCATGAACAAAATTAATGCAATTGGGATAAGAAGGGAAATGGTAGAGTGATAAAATAAATCTTTGTATCAAATATCTTTCCTAAGTATTCCATATCCAAGATATCTAGGTGACTAATAGAAATAGAAAGACCAAAAGTGATTCTACAATAGGTAAATGGTCAAAATACATGAACAAATAATTCTGAAAAACATCTGTAATTAGCAAATAGGAAATATGTTAAGAATGTACCTAAATGTCCCTAATCTTTGACCCAGAGATTCTACTCCTGTACATATACCACAAGGAAGTCCGTGATTTAAAAAAAAAAGGCCCCATATACATCAGCACTTTTTTTATATTCATAGTTATAACAGAACTTTTTGTAGAAAGACACAAAGAATATGCAAATCGACTGATGAACAGCTAACCAACTCATTTTACGCAATGTAATAAAACATTGGTATGTTTTAAGAAATCATGAATATTATGAGAACAGATAAATTTATTCAAAGTCAAGCAAGCACAAACAAGAACATTCTCTCTCTCTTTCTCTCTCTTTCTTCTCCCTTCTTCCTCTTTCCCTCACTCCATATTTTTTATATTTATATATATATATGTATATATGTACATACATGTATTTATATACACATATATATGCTACAGTGAACAGAAAGAACAATAACAAAGCAATTAAAACTAAATCCTGTGAAATTACAATGAGTAAGCTTCATCCTAAAGAATAGATATGTCACCTTTCTCCCCCTCCTTTTTTTTTTCAGATGGGGAGGCAGTCTATGAATGTGGAACACCAGAGGTAATGTGAGATATGTTAGATATATTAGTAAACTTTGCTGAAATGTTTCCCCCTCTCTTTTTAATTTTTTATTTTAAGGGGTACCTCTTTGGAAGTGTTGGTGGAAGGATATATTGGAAAGTGAAGGTAACAAAAAAAGATATCAATACAATTAATTTTTTAAAAGAATTCCTTTTGACTTTTAAGATCTAGTCAGTCAGCCATTGCCTTTTTCAATTCAGCTGTTTTAGCTACAAAAGAATTCAAGGATCTCAATGTGCCATGAAAGCCACTGTGACATTTCATGGGAATTTGAAAAAATAATAAAAAGATAGCCCTAGTTGCCATCGATTTTTTCCCTTTTTGAAATATTGATTTCTTATGCTTGAATACTGTAGATTATCTATTTCTGCCATACTAATGTGTATTCTAATAGAAAAAAATAATCAGAAGAAAGTAGCCTGGCATCATGGAAAAAACACTGCTCTAGAGATCTACACCTTGTGACAGTGAGTAGCCATTTAACCTTGTGCAAATTGCACAAGCTCTTTGAGACTAAGTTTTCTCATCTGCCAAATGATAAGGCTGAATTCAATGCTTTCTAATATATTTTCAACTCTAACATTCTATGATTCATTCATCAATTTTTTTGGGAATTTACTATATATATGTACATACATATATGTTTATATTTATATATATATATTTATATGTATATATACATACACATGCACACACACGCGCGCGCACGCACACACACACACACACACACACAGATAAATCTATGATCTAATTCCACAGAAGTAAAGGACAAGGTCTCAAAGCTGTCACTTTGACCTTGGAGGAGGGAATCTCGGGATCTCAGAAAAAGACCCATAAAGTAGAAGAAGGCCACAGTACAATCTCTCCAGTCCTGAAAAGGGGATTCCAAAGGCAGCCTGGGGAGCAGAAGAAGGTCATGAAGCTGTCACTTTGAACCAGCAGCAGGACACTAGATAAGACCAGCTAGCATCACACAAGGCCAAAAATTCCTGCCAGAAGTATGCAAAGTCCTAATCTGGAATGAATAAAAAAAAAGTTGGGGAGTAGAACTGATATACCTAAGACATAAATCCAAAAAAGGAGAATATCTCCAAAAATCCTTCAAGCAAAGCCTGAAAGAAAAATATAGCTTGTTTGCAAGATCAATTAGAATTCCTAGAACAAATGAAGTGAGAGGTTTTGGTTTTTTAAGGGTTAAAATGACATAAATGAAATAAAATTATTAGAGGGAATTAGTAAGGAAATGAAAGCAATAGAAGAGAGATTTGGAACGAGAATTAATGACTCAGCCCAATATTTGTTAAGCCTTACCCAAGTAACAGACTCCCTGAAAATTAGGATGGACCAAACAGAAGTTAATGATCCCATAAGACCACAAAAAATTAAAAATAAAGTAAAAATATTGAAAAGATAAATTTCATATTAAAAATTGACCTGGAAATCAGATCAAGGAGATATGATTTAAGCATCACTAGACTACCTGAGAGTCATGATAATAATAATAATAATAAAGCCTGGATATCATATTACAAGAAATCATGAAAAAAAAAAACCCTGCCCAGACAACAACAGAGAAAACAAAAGACAGAAAAGTCACTAGCCACATCTTGAAAGTATTCCCCAAAAGAAAATTCCCAGGGAGCATCACAGTCAATAAGGGGTAGAGAGATCCTTTGTTAGCATGAAATACTGTTTGCTCATTATCTGGAGCTAGCATTGCTAGATCTTAGTAGATCATTTTACTTCTTAGCCCCTCATTTTCTTTATTTTTAAAATAAATTAGACTAAATTATATCTTGGGTACTTTCCAGTTTAAACTTCCCTGATGATTCAAAATATATTCCAATCCCAGCTTTTTGGTTCTTTGCAGTGTTATAAAACATGGATATGGGCTATAAAAGACTCAGTAAGAGTAAAAAAGAAGAATACACATGGAATTGAAAGAGACCACAGAGATCATTCAGTTCAGTTATTTAATTTTTTTAGATGAAGAAACAGAGTCCAGATGAAGTGACTTGCTTAAGGTCACACAGCTAATTAGTGGCCAAATCCATTTAAGTTTCCTGGTTCTCAGACAAATGTTATTGCCACTGTCATAGAAGGATGCATTTTATAACACGTTTTCATTTAGCTATTGCTAAAGAAAAAAATTATTATAACCAAATTACTACAGCTCCAATCCTGTTATAATCAACTCCCAGGAAATTTAGTTTGTTTTATTAGAATTTTATTACATAGATATTATGTGATTAAGTAAGCTGTCAGATAAAGAGTAGAAATCCTTTTTTTTCCTTTTTGGTTAGTGCTTTTGTTGTAAAGAGATTTGTCAAAAGAAACTGAGCTGCATTGACATATAAGAATGATATGGAACGTTCAGTGTACATTGTTAAATCATTCATACTATTTCTGGCCACACAATTAGGAATTATACCCGAAAATACCTTAACACTCCAATCTTTGCTTAACCTGCTTGGCAGTGTTTGTCTTCATAGCTAGTTTGCATCAGGTACTGCCAAGTAAACTAGAATGTAAAACTCATTATCTTTTCTCTCTCGCAGTGTGGGTAAATCACCAAATAAAATGTACATTGTCTCTTCTCCCAGGGATTTACATGGCTGTTCAAAGGTTATAGGTGTTTCAGCATTAAAGTTTCTGCATATTAAGAAGCCTTTCATGCAGAAGTGAAGGATAATGATTTTCAATGTGCTGAGAATATGTAAAAATTTGTATGTAATTCTCTTAAGTTATGACACTGTATTTAAACTAAAACTCTATGTCCAGAACACCAATATTGTAATTATAATGTTCATACATGTATTATCCTTACAAGTACCCATAGCAAACATTGATGATATTTTTGGAAACAAGGTAGAAAATTTTGTTTTGAGATTTGCAATTGAGATTTTCTCTTTCTAAGATATGCATTTTTGACAAGTATGTCTATTATGTTTGCTTAGGTCAAAGATCATATGGGTATTTCCTCTACTAATGCAGATCACAATACCTTTAGAAGTTATAAATTATTCTGGCTGGGAAAAATGTTCATCAGGCAGCCAGCCTTCTTGTGATAATCCTTTCTAAACTTAGTAGGGTTTTCATTTTGCTGTTTTATTTCCAGTGTCTGCCACAGCGCCTTACGTATAGCTACATGGAATCGCAGGATCATAGACCTCAGAGACTGTCTAGTCCAATTCTTTCTTTTTGCAGAGAGGAACCCGAGACCCAAAAGGTTAAATAGCCTACTCGAGGTCATATAGGCAGTCAGTGGGAGAGCCAAGGATTCAAAGCCGGGGGTGATGACTTTAAACCTAGCATTGTACAGCAACCTGTTGTTGCTGTGGTTCAATTGTAAACTCATATCTGACTCCACATGATCCTATGCACTTCGTCCATGGGGTTTTCCTTCTCCAGCTTGTCCCCATTTCACAGATGAGAAACTGAGAAAAATAGGGGTTAAGTGATTTCCCCAAGGTCACACAGCTAGGAAGTATCCAAGGCAAGATTTGAACTTAGATCTTCCCCACTCCAGGCCAGATACTCTATCCACTGCACTACCTTTTCCCTCTGCTCTCTACTGCCTCCCTAATACTTGTTGGATTCCATTTAATTAACTAAACTGGTCCTCAGAGGACAAATACCTTCTGTCACTGAGCCAGTATCTGAGCACATTCTAACTTGGTAGTACCTGCCAAATCTTGTGCTCTGCTGGCATAACCTTCAGGAATTTAAGGTCACCTCTATGTCACAATGTGACCTTTGGATGGGAAAAAATAAGTAACAGATATTTACCACATATAAATTTTACTGTCTCTTAGCAATTCTACATTATGTCGGGCAAAGTAGGTAGAATTATAAATAGAGAGTTGGGCCTGAAGTCTGAAAGACCTGAGCTAAAATCTAGCCTCAGACAGTTGCTAGCTTTGTGACTCTGGGCAAGTCACTTAATGTCTCTTTTCCTCAGCTTCCTCAACTGTAAAATGGGGATCATAATAGCCCTTATCTTTCAGGGTTGCGGTGAGGATCAAATGAGATAATATTTGTAAAGTGTTTAGCACAGTGTTGGGCAATAAGAGGTGCTTATAAGTGCTTATTTCTTTCCCCATAATAATAATGATAAAGATAATAATAATACATTTGCATTTATAGAATGCTTTAAAATTTTTAAGACATTTTACAAACATTTTCTCATTTGAGTTTTACAACAATTCTATCAGGCAGGCCAAACAAATATTGTTATTTCCATTTCATGGATGAGAAAACTAAAACATAGAATGATTTGTCTAGGGTCACACAGCTAGTAAATATTTAAAATTGGATTTGGCCTCATCTTCCTAACCTAAATCAAGTTCTCTGTTGTCTATGCTATGATACCTCTATGTCATAACTGTGGTTGTTCTTAGCAATTGGTGCTGGCATGCTTTGACTAGAGCCTGATTTTACACATACATTGATGGTAGTGATCTCTGATATCCTCCTACAGTGGTTAACATGAACGTTCAACCAGTGATCCCACTCATACAGAAAATGTTCTTGTACAATTTGTCTTAAATGAATTTTTACTAAGGTACAACATTAAAAAGACATCTGTTCCTTTGCTAAAATTTATGCAAATTGGAATCATTTTGGAAATATATTTTAGGAAATGTGCTATTCCCTTAGCTTAATGCATACCTTTCAGGATGATTAACATAAAACACTTAAAGCGATTAAAGGTTTATAAATATTCTGAACCTTTACATACCTATGCAGTGTAAGTCTACTTAAAATGCTTTTCCTATTGTCTGAAACAAGTCAGTTTGAGGAATAATGGCAGAGCAATAAATGTCCAAATGTCCATTTCATGTACTGTCTGATGTCTGATAAAAATAGAAAGCTAAAGCAAGACTGGTTTGGCAGCAGCTTGAAATATAATAAATAATTACGACACAACTTACAGAACCCCCAAAGATAACCTCCATATTGTAATCATGGTAATTTAT